ATTTTAATTGCAACTCCTCTTCCCTGCACTAGATGACAGTCTCTATCCATACACAACACAGCATCAGTACAGAGGACTCATTATAATCCACTCTTTAACATAGAATGAAATGATGCAAATAACTTAATGTATAGTATCAAAGCACATAAAGCAGTCTGAGTTCATGATGCAATTAGATGAGCCTGTGAGCACAATCATGATGGCAAGAATGGATTTTAACGCCATGTATACATAGGTGTTCCAAGTTATCGTCATATAAAATATCCTGCCACTGTTCACATATAAATGCCAGATAAAACCTATTTAGTATTAAATAGATCGAACAAGAACAAGGTAGAAGACTCTGGAGTCCAGGCGTTACAGATTGGAGGCAAAAGATCGTATTTACTCTAATGCCAAAATAAATCTAGTGTCTGCTTTTTTTTCTTTCTTTTTTTTCCTTTTAACAATATTGTCCCTATCAGGATCATGCTCGCTCCATCCTGTCTTGCAGCCAGTGTTTAGGGGACGATCAGGAGCTCCTTCCTTTTACGGCTCATGCTTTCTGTGCACTTTGGTCCGACCAAGGAGTCCGAGCAGCTGCAGCCCGAGGATACGAGTTTGAGCTGAACGACTCTGCTCTCTAGTAAGTAGATTGACATTAAGTGACTTTATGTTGCACAACACGACCAATTATGATTGATGGTGGCAAATGTCATGGGAAATTGCCCAGTAAGAAGCATAGCGTCACATCTTGCCAATACAGAGCTACGGTAAAGAGAGCGCTGAGAATAACTTGTGCTCAGGAAATGATTTCTGTGACATTTGTGTAATGGGCTTAATTGGACCACATTTAAAAAACTGTTTGCAGAGATCCAGGGAGATGAAAATTAGAGTGGCGCAGATAAAACAAACACAATTAATGTCTAAGTTTTCTTGTTTGAGAATCCAAAGATGTGTAAAAAGTTGCAGTTTCACTATCTTGGAGTATGATTTAGTTGTGACATATACTGTGTGTGTGTTTTTTATATATATTAGATTACAGCCAGTATGTTTTCAAAACAATTTTTAAAATTTTTATAATTATTATTGAAGTGGTCCAAGCATGTTTTTTCCCTATTGTTGTCCTCAGGTTTTGCAAATGTAGATGCTCAGTTAAAAAAATAAAAAAAAGCGAGCTGTGGCAGCTACACTGCTGCCTGTAAATGTCATGAATCCTACATGCCTACTCAGCATAGATGATTTGTGTGTTGTGTCATCAGGTGAAGTGGGAATTGTTAATGTGAGTGTGGAATATGTTTTAATAAATGGCATTATTGTTTTCCCCTGTAAGTGCAGTTATGAGACCCCCCTCTCACATGCGTGATATTTTATTTAGTAAATATCTGATATTCCCTTGGGCTGCTTGCTAAATTCTGACTATTATGTAAAGGCAGTTTGTTTTGCAGTCATTGTTGAAATCGTTCTTAATGCATCACTGTGACCTAATAAACAAATCAAATTGTGATTCATGTTTGATTTGAAGGTTCATGACATACGTTTTTGCATTATTATTGACTACTAGTATTAAAACATGTCTCTTTCAATTACGGCTCAAAGTTCATCTAGACATGTACTGTGACTACTTCAGTTCGTTTATTTCTATTTCAGAAAACGCTACGTTCAGATAAACTGATTTAACTTTCTGGGATTTCCTTACCTGGATAGTTGAGCATAGATCAAGATGCCTTTAATGACCTCTCCTTCAGACTGAATTAATAGTGGAGTGTAAGTTGGTCATTCATTAGGATGTCTCTTGAATTTTGTGACTTATTGGCTTAAATTGCAGGTTACTCTTATTTAAAGACCATAAGACTGTGTACTGTGGTCAGTGTTGGTTACATGGTCTTTTAAAT